TGAATAAAAGGGTGTATGCTAATCTACACTGTTCTGAATCAGTTCTGACCCTGCTTAAAGTCAAGTCTTTACAACGCTAACATGGGCTGTGCAATGACATTACACCTTGCAAATCTCCACATAAATGCAAGCAGAACCGTGGTCTAAGACGATTAACTAGCAAGCAGAGATACCAGTTCTCTGCTTTCTTGATCTGAAGAAAAGTAGTTCTTTACAGACATGAATTTGCATCCCAGAAGCACAGTAACACTAATTTCTCAGCCTCTAGTCAAGTATCTCAGTACTCATAAAGCAAGCTGACGGTCAGGTTACATCTATGCAGCACTATCACTGTGACAGACACAGCAGTGATACTACAGAACTGACCAGGGATAAAATGCATTTTCACAGTCTTAGAGTAGGACAGGAAATCTGCAACCTACTGCAAACTATTTAGAGTGAATTGTTTTATGTTAAAATATTACTTACCCCTTTGGGTCCCAAGAGCTCCTCGGAATTTCTTCTGAAGAGTTTCAGTAGTCCCTGCGAGGCTGTTGGCACTTCCCCCGCACAGAAGTTGACAGGTCGATTGCTGAGAGCAGACGTGGGGCTGACTGCAAGTGGGCTGTTGGAAGGCAACTCTGGAACCTCCTGAACAACAGAACATAAAGCATCTGAGCTCAGGCAGCCTCCCTCCTCTGCTAACTGTCTAACAAAGAGACATCATTTGCTGGTAATGAGCACTGTTAACACACTGTAAGGAGCATTACTGTGAAAAGCTGACAAATGCTCCTCCCAGCTCTTTCCTTAGTACCTCGCAACCAGGATCACCCAAATTCCACTTCCATTCCCTGTCGCTGCCGCATGGTTTCTTGGATGGCGTTCTCTGCAAGAAGTCAGAGATTCTCTGTACCAGGAAATCTCGGTCTTTCAGATTGGCAAAGAAGAAGGTCATTTTGCTTTTAGTGCTGATGGACAAAGGGCTGGGCAAGACACTGGAACTATCTGCTTTCTCAACTATTGTCACCTAGAAGACAAAGACAAAGGCCATTTGGATCCAGCAGATTCTCCATCACCTATAAAGCACTGCACAAAAGCTAGAAGCACACAGAAGACAAGAAAGGCCTGTAGTCTTAATATACAGCTAAGAATCCCCACCTCCCTGAGAGGAATGATGAGATGACAGGCCTCCTCTGCCTTGCTGGCAAAACAGATGTAATTGTTGGAAACAAACATCTGGCCAGGAATATGCATCTTGTTGAATGGTGTCCACAAGGTACAGTCTGTATGTCCATCCAGGCATTCATCCTTGGGCAACCGGAAAGTGGCACGGTAGCACTCATTTTTGGCTCGAGCATCCAGGTCTCTGAGGAAAAGTAAAGAGTAGTCCCCAGAGGTTTTTTCTCACTTGAAAAACCCACTCAAACACTAATGTTAAGTGTTCACTCCAATCACAACCTTCAGACTGTGCTGTGTATTCTTAGGATTCATTTCTCTAACTAAGATGCCACCCCTTATCAGACTCCTCTTTCAGCCTTCAGACATGCTTCACTGACAAGGTATGTCCTGCAATACAAGGTAAAATATGCAAGTGCATGTGCAAAACTTACATGTTTGATCAGATTCTGAAACTGCAGAGAACAGCCCCCAGCAGGAGGATTTATACAATACAAATGTATATTACTTTTTATAAATCTTCAACTTCAGACAAAGGGGCTGATGTAATTTTCTTCTTTCACACCTTTTTTTTCTAAACAGGATTTTCAACAGTTTTTAGTTGAAAATTCCTTCTGACAGTGCCTAGTCATGCATGAGAAAGACATGAGGGTGTGTGTGAATTCAATACCAATTTGGGATGGAAAAAAAAAGAATAGGCAGAGGGCTAATGACTGAAATAAGTGATGCAGCCCCTAGAGTGAGAAAACCCCAGTGGCACCTGGGAGCTACAGAATAATGCAGATTTATTGTTACAATCCCCTCCTATCTGTCTTCTCTTCTCACTGCTGGAAACACATACCTTTTCAATGCCGAGATGTTCTTAAGAGGCTTCCTGGGCTTTGGGAGGGACTTGTCCTGTAGGAAGCTCTCATTATCCAATAGCTGCCGCATAGCAATGTTAGCCAGCTGCTCCATCAGCTTGAATGTCTCGTTGATGTTGAGAAACATGGAAAAATAAAGTTCACTGTCCCTTGTGCTTACTTTAATGCACTCAGGGAACAGCAGTGTAGCATTTTTTTCTAGCTGGGTTACATCCACCCACTGGATCACCAGTGTCACTAGGAAAAAAGGTTTAAAAAAAATCTACTATTATAATTTGAGGCAAAACAACGAACAAACTCTAGCAGCAAGTAAGCGCTCAAGGTAGCAGCATTTTTCCCCTGATCACCAGTGTCACTAGGAAAAAAGGTTTAAAAAAATCTACTATTACAATTTGAGGCAAAACAACGAACAAACTCAAGCAGCAAGTAAGCGCTCAAGGTAGCAGCATTTTTCCCCTCTTACACATGGACAATTCTCTTCTTCATACTTTTACTGGGTTCTCCAAAAATACTTGGAAATAATCTTTGGGATTAACTAGACTAGAAATAATGCAGTTCCAAAAGGACTATCTCCCATCCAGTAAATGCTTTCAACTACAATTACTCAAGTTTTCATTCTTTCTTTACAGCAAATTAGCGTTGCACTCAGGAGTTCAAGCTTTGTAAATACTGGGTCCTGGTGGTGGTTCCAAATAAAACCCACCAAGTTAAAAATATTGCTTGGTTCTGTAATCCAGTTGGAGTAATACTTCAGGTGTACTTGTACAACTTGAAAAATGACTCAGGCTTTCAGTCTAAACATCACTGAAGTGCCTATGAGTGCAAGGACTGATTTATGTGTTGAGCTAGAGCTCAGAGGTTTCCTAAAAGGAAAAAACCTGCCATCTTAAAAAAAAAAGTTCACACAAAAGATCAATTGCATCAAAAAGATCATGGGAAACGGCAGAAAAACAACTGACAGGCTTATAACTCACCCTCTTTGCCCAGCAGGAAGGAGTAGAAACAGAGGTGATTGACGGTGAGGTACAGCCACCCCTGCCTGGGTACGCGCCCCTTCCAATAGCTGCAGGAATAGTAATTGACCAACTTCTCCACCTCGGGCATCCCAAACTGCTTCCGCATCTTCAGTTCAGCCTCTTTGAATTTACCTGGATCCTCTTCGCTCTGGGGCTGCTCATTCTTGTTCTCTTCAGCAATAATTCCCTGAAAGGACATGGGAGGAGGGAGAGACGAAATGGAAGGGAGCATGCCTGCTGACAGACATAATATACAGCAAAAGGTCACAGCAGCAATCCAGAAGACAGAAAGAAGAAACACGACACAGCAGCTATCATTTCTCCTGTCACGTTAGAGAAATAGTAAAGACGTGTAGAAAGAGCAGTCAGATAGTCAGGGAGTCTGTGATCTGGATCTACTCCTGAACACGTGCAGCAAGCATTCATGTTTAACGTTTGACTGAGCTTCTCACGGCTGGCCTGGTAACACTTTGAACACCCTGCAGGAGAACTAAAGTCTATTTTCACTTGCAAACATGCTTCTTCAACAGGAAGAAGATCATCTGGCAGGAAGGGCAGAACTCTGCAGTCTGTCAGATCTTGACTGGCCAGAAGGAAAAACAAATGACCACAATCTCTCTCACACACAGACACACAGAGAGAAAATACAAAGAATCTGACTGGAGTACTGGAAAAGACTCAAATTGCTGCTGTTCAATAAAAAACTGTATTTACAAATTTCTACTCTGGAGAATTTGTGGGCTGGGAATCTGAAGTGTGTTAACGGCAAACAAGCAGACACCTGTCTGACTCAAAGTCAGTGGAAGTTGGGGTGCAGTTCCTTTATAACCTAGATGCCTTTTAGACCATCGTAACAGGGCAAGTACATTGCTTGCAAACTAGAATTCTCTCTCTGCCGTATTTGCTGCTAGATGAACCCTCTTTAAACATTCTCTCTGCATCAAAGGTATAATCGGCAAGGATTTTAAAGAGGTATTATATTTTAATTAGTAGGAGCACCCTAAGTAGGCTGTTCCTTGAGATCCACTGCTCATAACCTTTTCCCCCCCAAATACATTTGTCCAGTGTTATGACTGTAACATGATGCTGATAATACTGTATGCATTCCATGAGAATTCCAAACGTATGTATGTCTGAAAAGGGAGCAGAGAGAAGTTTTGCAATGGAGCTCTTGCTCCCTCCCTCCCAAGGGTAAAAAATTCTTAAAACCACCTCCCCATTCTTTCTCAGGATCTGGAAGTCCTTCAGGGAAACATGTCGCTTACATGTATCTTGCCCTTGACAAAGGTGGTGATATCCTCTTCGTTATCAAAGATGGATAGAGTCTGCAGTAAGTTATTCTCCAGCCATTCCCAATGCTTTGTGATCTCTTTACGAGATGATCCTAATTGAAGGGGTTAAAGATGATGGGAAGAGCAAAGAAAAAAGAAATTAGAACAAGGTCTTTTTTGCTCCAACTTCACAGCTGGAAACTAATAATCACCAAACAGTGATCAGGACAAATCAAACACACCAACTGTATACATGTCAAGGATATTTTGTGTACACCAACACTATGTTTCTAATGAAATGTCTCCACTGCCACCAAGGATAAACAGCACACTACCAACAGATCATCCTATTTGCCAGTGCACACCAAACACAGCTTTTTTCCCAGACAAAAAGCATTCTTATGTTCCAGACAAGAAGTACTCTTTTAATTCCTGGTACTCTAGAATAAAAATAATGAACTTTCAGAAGAATCTTGAAATTTCAGAACAACTGAAGTTTTTACACCTACAAAGAGGTTCCATTTTCCATGGGCAATGGTCAGCAGAGAGCATACAATTCCAAAACAAAAAGCAACCAAAATATTCACATGTCAGAAAGTTCTTTGCTTTCTTAAATAAAAATGTCTCATCAAAACTTATTAACAGTTAATTGTCTTTAACCATACTGTCCACAAGCGTTCACAAAGGATAAGCTTCACTGTGTAACCAATTTAAAGAACTTTTCTATAGAAAGTTGCCTTGGTTAGTTGCCATTAATTCTTTCAAAGATCTGTGTTTACTAAAAGATTTCTTCCTATCAACTATCACTATATTCTCTTGTAGACAGAAAAAAAACGCAGAAGAAATAAAAACTGCAATTCAATTTTTTTTAACAAGATAAGAAACATCATTAAATGCAGACAAAAAGAAATCTGTTTAAATGCAAATCAAAGACATTTGTAAGTTTCTCTTTGCCAAATTCCAGTAAATTTATCTTCTGAAGTTTCATACAAAAGCAGAGGGATATCTAAAAATATTAACAGCATGACTCCCACTACTCGTTTTCTCTGTGAGTACATTAGACCCCTCCATGTGGTTAATGATGGAAAAGAAGAAAGCAGCAGACAACACAAGCAGTTCCCTAAAGCTATTGCTCTACCTGACTTCCTTTTTTAAGAGGCAGCTTCAGCAATGAAATAGCCATCACATATTTGTAGTTGGATACCTAACCACAAAGCCCAATGCCAGCTAATCTGTGGTTTCATAAGGAAAAATAACTCCAGGACCTGAAACCAAAAACTAGAAGCAAGTAAGCTGTTTTGTCTCAAAGGACTGCAGGGCTATGAATTTAAGTTTGTGCGTACAGCCCAATGGATTAGACAACGAGTATTTTTTCTTTTGTGTGTAAGTTTACTTGAATCTATCCTAGCCATCTGACAATGTTTATAAAGCATAGATGATTTTGAGTAATATGAAATGGCTTATTTTAAGGGCACAGAATTATCAATTATAGGATGCTTCGGTTGTGGAAGAAACCCACAGGTCCAGCAACAATGGCAGGGGAATAAAGTCTGCGTTCTGTTTTGTTTCATGAGCTGCACCTCTCACCAAGTGAGAGCAGACAAATTGCTAAAATAAGCCAGGCCTCAATAACTGACATCTTTCTAAGAACAACATTAGAATGACATACATCAAGGAGTAAAATTCTGTGATTCCAAAGAGAGTTGTAAGAACAAAGTGCTGAAAGGCCGAAGCTGCATGCATGACCAGAATGCTGCCCACTAGTATTTACACACGATAAATTGTAAATAAAATATATGCATTTTTCAACTAGAGAGCCATATACATTTTATAACTTTTAAGTGAATGCCAATACTCTTACTTTGACAGTAAAATGCGAATCAGATATGAATTTAAAAATACTTCGGATGAAGACAATATATTTACTCCAGTATAATAATTTATCAAACTCCATTTGGTTGTTTTATAGCCCATCTCATTTTACCATGCTGCATTACTTAACAGTAGCTGCGCTATAGAGGATATCAACGAAACTCCTGAAATTGTACAAAAATAACACACTCATTGAGTGTCAAGACACTATAAAATTTCAGATTTGCACCGTATGTCGCCACTAAATATTCTGCTTTTTTCCATGCAGTTTCTGGCCTGCCATTTTGTTTTCTGTCTTTCCTCCTCTCTGCCTCCTCCCTCCTCAAAAGGGAAACTGAGTTTCTGTGAAACACAGCAACTTCTAAACCTCTCTTCTGCAGAATTTAAGTAGCTCTGCAAGGGAGAATATCGTGTTGGTTGCCTGGGGAGAAGATGGGAACAGGGAAAACAAGACATCAACATCTGCGGCCTTAGCAAATGATTACTTCATGCTCAGATTTTATGTCTCAACCACAAAGTGAGAAGTGAAGATTCTTATTATAAACAAAGTCAGTGTAACAAATACGTCTGAAGATATTTTCTCTTCAGCAACCGGTAGGACCTAAAGCCTTAATCAACATTCACCACCAGATATTAGAAGGTTGTACCATGATACATTTCTCAGGTAAAAGAGGCCAAGGATTCCTGTTGTTTTAAAAAAAAATCATTGTAATATATTTTACAGAGATAGCATATCTATGTATCTATTACAGGCCAGAAATAGTAGAAGAAAATAAATTGGATCAAGACAGTAAAGAGAGTCCCCAAAGAGCGTTTGGCACCTTGAATGATCTTACATGTTCCCATCTTGTACCGTGTTCCTGGTAAGCAGGTTTTGGCACAACACTGATCATCCCACAGCAATCTTATCACAATTTTATTCTTTTAACAATCTCACTATGACCTTGCAAAGAGATACACCTTGGAAGAAATAAAATTCATAATATCTGCGGAAACAGAAGCTTTTACAGAGCCTTAAGTTCCTAAACTACAGTTTAAACAACGCTGAGAAGTTTTGTAATTTCTGGCATCTTCCACTATCCCAACAGAAGCTCTACAAAGTTTCCTGAGCAGTCACAGAATACTCTTATTATGCCAGGATAACTGATCATCTGAACCAAACAGACAGTAGAGTAACACAAATCCAGCCCCCGACAAGAATCACATCAATACATACCACACGCCACTGCCCAATACACTTGAGAGTCCTGAGTCTGGTGCAGAATACGGTATGGGGCAACTCTGGCACTGGAATCCAAAACCACGTCTAATGTTCCCACAAGAAGACCTAGGAGGCAAAGAGAGAGAAATTAAAACAATGTAATACCAAAATGAAGAATTGGGTTAAGTAAAAATACAGGATCAACACTACAGAAAAATGGCGATGTTCATATCATGTACGCTGTAATGGAAGAGAACGGCACTTGGTCAAGAAAATGGAAGACATACATCCAGTCACTGCAAGCAAATTACCTATAAACCAACTACAGCCAGTCCCATGGTAAGGGATAAAGTTTAGATGGCAATTAAATGTCTACTAAACCTCATTATAATCCTCTGCCTTCCCAGGAGAGTTTTCTAACAAAAATGAAATGTATTTTCCTCTGTGGGGTTCTGTTGCTAATAGTGATTTTTAAGCCTACTAAACTAAAACACAAAAGAGTTTTCAACAGTGTATCTTTCAGCATCACCTATGCAAACAGTAGGTAAGGTAACTCATCCAAAATGGAATCAAATAGCTCTACAAAAACTGGTACTCACAGGTTTCAGTGATCTTTCTAGAAGTATTCGATGAAACAAAGAAAGAAGGCAGAGAATCAAAATTTGGTAATACAAAAGTTGAAATATTTTTTATATGCTGTTAAATAAAAAAGCAGGCATTTCCAGAATAAATGCTGACGACCACCAGACTTTGTAAAGCAAATCCATTTATTTCAATTAAGTCTGTCTACTAGATAAATCAAATATCTAAGGATGACACTTTGGCTTATTATTCTAGTTAATGTACTATGAATATCTTTAATGCAAATTAATTTTGCAACATCCTCATGATTAGAAGTTTTCTAACATTAGAACTTGGAGAGGGAGCATGTTTGCTCCTCTGGATCGCTATTTGGGAGGCCCAGGCTCAATTCCCTGCTGATTTTTTGTTGTTGTTAACAGAATTGTGACCAAGGCACGATGTTATTTTAACAGTTTCTGTCACCAAACGCTGCTACCGGGCATACACACACAGGGGTAGTTTTCCCTGGGCTGCACCCACACAGCTTCACCCCGGCCCAAGCACAGCACAATTTTCATACAGATATTAAAAACTACGTCTTTTGCATCCTCTAAATCTTAAAAACCACACCACAAAAAAAGATACAAAGGGAACACTTCAGAAATTCAAGGCATCACGACTATGACAAAGAAGCGGTTTTGCCAAGGGAAGAAGACTCCCACCCACCCCCGTGCGGTTACTCGC